CGCTGCGTTCTCGCCCAGGTGAGGAGCGCGGAGGGGGAGGCGGTGGACGGGGAGGACCCCAGCCTGCAGGCGTCCGCAGGCAAGAAGGTGAAGCTGGAGCTGAAGGAGCGGAAGGAGAAGAAGCACAAAGTGGACGAGGACGAGATCCAGAAGATGCAGTGAGTGCCGGGGCGCCGGCAGCAGCGCCCGGGGGGGCCGGTGCCCGGGAGGCACCGTGCAGCGCGTGGGGTTTGCGGCTGGGAACGGCGATGAGTGTTTGATCAGGTTACGAGCCCATGGTGAACAGTGCCCGTAGCTCCATCCCGGAGCCCTCCCCTCCCGAACGGGCCCGGCCGTTTTGCGTTCGCAGCGCTGGAGCCACCGCCCCCCCCTTCCCCTTTTTTGTCCTGCAGGAGGCTGGGGGTGGTGGAAGGGCTTTGCAGGACTGTTGCAGCGGCTTGGAGAGCTTCAGACTTTTATTTTCCGTTTTGCTGTAAATGATAAATTCTCTCCATTCCAGAATACTGGTCTCTTCCTTTTCTGAAGAACAGTTGAATCGTTACGAGATGTATCGCCGCTCTGCTTTCCCCAAAGCTGCTATTAAAAGGGTACAGCTTCAATAATCATAGAATCATAGAATTGTTTAGGTTGGAAAAGCCCTTTAAGCTCCCCCAGCCCAACCGTTCCCCTACCCCTGCCATCCCACCCCCAAACCCTGGCCCTCAGCACCTCGTCTGCCCAGCTTTTAAATCCCCCCAGGGGTGGGGACTCGACCCCTTCCCTGGGCAGCCCCTTCCAAGCCGCAGAAGGACTCTGAGCAGAACAAGCAGGCTGAGCCTTACTAAGCCTGGCTGCAGTCAAGTCTAGGCCCAGCTCTTTGGTGCACCCTCCTCCAGCTGCATCTCAGCCCCTGTGGCTGAGAGCATTGTCCTCAGATTGGCTTCTCCCGTTATTTCTAGCTCAATAGCCCTTGCACGGCTTACGTGGTTTAGACAGGAGCTCATCTTAAACTATGGTGGGCTGGGCAGCCATGAGGCAGTGGGAAAAAGTCATTGTGGGTACAGGGGCTGCAGCTGAATGAGGGTAAGCTTAAATCTTGACAGCCAGCACGTGCCCAAAGATATAGGACCATGTTTCCATCTATTTCGTTAGCTGTTGGCTGATATTTGACAGGCTTTATATACAAGTTAAAATGTTTCACCGTTGCTGTGTGTCCCCTGCTGATCTGGCTCTCTGTCTCTTGTGCAGCTGATCCAGTCCATCACCGGCACCTCCGTCTCCCAGAACGTGGTTATCGCCATGTCTGGCATTTCCAAGGTCTTCGTTGGGGAGGTGGTGGAGGAAGGTGAGTGGCAAACGTTGAGTACAAAGTTAAATATGGGGTAAACTCATTACTTAAAGCAGAGCAGAACGATATGGAACAAGATGTGACACTTTGTGGTTCCCAGTCTTGCTGTCCCAGCGGGCGCCCTGACCTCCCAGCAGCAACAGAACGCTGCAGGGCAGAGCTGAGCCAAGAGAGGGTGGAGTGTGGTGTTGCCCGTAGTTCCCTCTAATCCTATCAGTATCGCTGCCCGTGAGTCAGCAGAGGTTGGTGACCACTGACCTCCTGTTTTATCCTCCCCCAGGAGGATAATTTAGAAGTTCTTGCCCTGTAAGTCAGCCTGTGAGCGAGCAGCCAGGATCTCTTCATAGAATCATTTGGTTGGAAAAGACCTTTAAGATCGAGTCCAACCGTACCTGTCCGCCACTAAACCCTGTCCCTAAGCACCTCGTCTGCCCGGCTGTTAAATACCTCCAGGGATGGGCACTCGACCCCTTCCCTGGGCAGCCCCTTCCAGCCCCTGACAGCCCCAAGGGGAAGGAATTGTTCCCCATGGCCAACCTCACCCTGCCCTGGCACAACTTGAGGCCGGTGCCCCTCGTCCCATCGCCCGTTCCCTGGGAGCAGAGCCCGACCCCCCCGGCTCGGACACGCTCCAGCCCCTCTAGGTCCTTCGGGGAGGGAGGGGCCCAACCCTGACCCCAGCATTTGAGTGTTAATTCATTAATACTGCCATGGACAAATTCAGCCTGGAGAAAATGAGCTATTTAAGCCTCTCAACCCGTAAGATTTTTCCTTTATGGGATGAGCTGAGATCTTTTTGGGACACCGGGTGGGAGCCTGACCCAGCTGTGTCCCTGCTCTGCTCGGGCTGGAGGAGGCAGTGATGCTGGTTTTGATGCCAACCAGTTTGTGTAGACTCATCACACAAAGCATGCCCTGTATGTGCTGGGATCGCCGTTACCAGGGCGATGCAGCTGTACTGCTGTGGTCTCCGCAGCGCTGTTTTGCCTCAGGCCATTTGGATAAAGCAGCTTCACTGCTGTCATTAATTGCCTCATGACGTTAATCGCTTCATGTCATGGCAGGAGGTGTGAGTGATACTTACTGTAAATGATCGAAAAGAAACCAGCCCGCCAGTCCGCTGTAGGTTGTACCTTCCTGTCACTGCTGTACACAACCCCAGGACACACCACCCAACCTTGGGGTGGCTTTAGAGCAGAAGATTTAAGATCCTAAGTTCTTACATGACTCAAACCTGCTGGAATGGTTTAAACATCAATTTATTCTGGTCCGGTATCGATGCCCCTAGGAGTGACTCCTCTTTCAGGCAGAGATGCACACAAAGAGGTTTCATTCTCGTATATTAACAAAACGTGAGCTGTGAACCCTGGATGAAAATGTTACCTGTTGCCTTTTAAAATTCAAGCTCAAACAGCAGGAGACGGGCTAAGCGTAGCCGTCCTGCTGACCTCAGCTCTTTGGTTTGTGTTGTTCAGCTCTGGATGTGTGCGAGAAGTGGGGGGAGCTGCCGCCTCTGCAGCCCAAACACATGCGCGAGGCGGTGAGGAGGCTCAAGTCACGAGGACAGATCCCCAACTCCAAATATAAGAAGATCATCTTCCACTGAAGCGTCCCAAGAGCAGGAGGAGAAGACAAGTTAAAACAAGCTTCCTGTGGTGAACCTCACGCCAGCAGAGCTACGAGCCCGAAGCTCCTTCAGGAGCGATGTGTACAGACTGAAGCGACGGCAGGGAGGCCTCCTGTCGTCACTGCCCAAGTCTGGTTTGGCATCCAGGTGCTGTGCAGGAGCCAAATCCCTGACCTGGAGCCCTGGGTTCCTCTGCTTCACCAGAGCAGGGATAGGAACGTTCAAGGTCTTCAGTGTATTTGCCCACCGGCGTCACACTTTCTGCTGGCACGGAGGGAGTAGTGTCTATGTACAGAGTGGTTTTTGTTGGGTTTTTGTTGGGGTTTTTTGTTTGGGTTTTTTTTTTTACATTAAACTTGTTATTGTATTCATAGTCTTGCTGGGAAATACTAATTGTGTAATGGGGTTTGTGTGACTCAAAGCAGGGGGAGTGGAAGGCAACGATCTGCCTCAACCACCCCAGACATGTTCCTGAAGCTTCGCCTTGCCTCGGGCACGTATTGTGCCATTAGCATCAAGGAAGGGGTGCTGAAAGCTGATGCTTCTGAAGTCATCACTGGGCTATTCCTCCCAAAGCCAGTTTTACAGAGCTGTCTAGAAAACAGTACCGTGAGGAGGGAGGAAAAAGGAGAAAAAAAAAAACCACCCAACAAACTAGGAGAGCCTGTAAGGAGGTTAACAAGTTTAATTTCTTTTCATGGTTCATAGAACCCAATAAATGCATAAGTTGAAATATACTGCAGAATTCCAATACTGCCTAAAACTCATTCAAGTTCAGACTTGCACATTACCCACCTGTACGTACAGCAGTCCCCTGTGAGCACGCTGCTTCTAGCTCAGTGTAAGAGATGCTGAGGCCATGTGCTCTTCCTAGGGTAACCACGGTGTAGTTACACAAAGGATTAAGTTGGCTCTCACCATAACACAGAAAGAGTCCTTAAATAAAAGGCTCTACAAAGTAAACTTTGCTCATCATCGTCAGTGGAGATAAGGGGAGTTTTTCTCCTCCCACACGTATGCCTTGTACAAAGGAAGAGGATTTTGTTTTACAGTGCTGTTTACTGGTACTTCAGAACAAAACAATGGAAGTGCTTTTAATTCTTAAGCAAAACCAGTTGACTTGAGTTGCCGGAGCAAGAAATTTGCTGTAAACAACTTGGCCCCAGCTCTGTTCAGCCTGCACACGTGGGAGGGAGGGGTGAGGAGCTGGGTGACGCAGCAAGTAGGCACCAGTCTGAGAAAACACTCTGCACCCAACTCATTTCCCAAGCTGGCTGGAGGTGAAGCTGGACACCTAACTCAAAGAAAGTGTCATGAAAATTTGAAAGCGAAGAAAGAAACCTCCCATTTTCAAGCAATTAGTGAATAAAAAGTAAGAATACCATTGCATTCCACCAAGGCAAGCATTCTTATATTTCTTGCCACACACAGGAAGAGGGAGCAAGCACAGAAGCACGTAGGTTTGACTAAACAAAGTTCAACTTCTGCTTGGGTGGGCTTTGGGCAGCTTGTAATGGTACTTACAGCGAGCTGTTCACTTATAGGTTTGTTTCACAGCAAGTCTGGATACGCAGGGGCTTTGTTACCTCCCTGCTCTCTTCTGTGAGAGCTGCTCACAGCCAGAGTCTTATTTACCAAGGAAGGTAACTTGCATTCCAGAACCCCTGCTTTTACTTCTGAATTCTTCTACGCACGAGGCAGTATCGGTGAAGGAAATGCCCACTGATGCTTAAAAATTTAAAGTGCATTTTCCTTTTGAGAACAGGCCTGACTGGCTGCTCTAGTACGTTTTCCATCACAGGCAGCACCCCAAATCTGTCCTGTCAAAGGCTGCGTTGAGCAGGGAATGGGTCACAGAAGGTGCTCCAGAGAAAACAGCCAGGTTGTCTAACAGGAACGAGGAGGAGCGATCCTCTCCTGTGGAGGAGGGAACACAACTGGCAGAAGTCAAGCATCCGAACATCAGAGCTAGCCCAGGCTTAAGCGCGTGGTGAGCGTGAAGCCTCCTGCAGCTCAACTCCCGCGCTTCTGCCCAAGGCCAGTCCTCCTCCTTTTAATTCATTTGGGGCTGCCTGCTCCCAGAGGTTCTAGAAGGAAGGTCAGACCCGCGCTGCTGCTGCCATACCTGGTGTAGGCACTGGTCAGTCAGATCTTGGCAGAAATACTGGACTCCAGCCAGGCTGGCTGTTCCAACCTGGCATACAAGGACTAATTTGAAACAAATCTTATTCAAAGCTGCCTTCAGTCTCATGGAGTCAAACAGAATTAAGATGATTATCTTAAGAGTGACAGTTGTTTTAATCACCATTCCTCTCTTACATAGCCTCTTTTTTCAAAGTGAAAGCTAACAACCACAAGGAATTCACTCTTGGCTCTCCACAAGCCACAGACAGCACTGCCTAGCGCTGTAAATACGTCCCTGTTTCCCCTAGAGCTAAAGAAGAACCAAAATGATCTCAGGAGTGCCTGTTAAGAGGAAGTGTTCAACAGCTCCAGAGCTGGGCAAAGGGACAAGTGTATGAGAGCACGGTAGGAAAAACAAACTTAACTCCCAAGTTATTTATTTGCTTGCTTTTGCGTAGTTTCCAGACCTCAGCTCATCATGGCTTGTAAATCGGAGGCTGCTCCTTGCATAGCAAGCAGGATTAGAGTCTTGTATTACTTTAGCTAAACTAATTTCAGTGGAGTAATCAGAAAAAAAAAAATAGAAAAATCCATTAGATTAAAGTTTTGGGGAGTATGTTCAGCTAAAAAACACAGCAAGAGTTACCTAACCCTTACAGACAAGTGAAGTTTCCATCTGATTAATAAAGGACAATCGCTATAATCTGTCACGTTTCCTAGCACTTACCACGTGGCAATCGCTACCTGTTTTACATGCGCTAAAAAGCCTGTGCGTCAGAAACGGTGCATTTACACAAACACAAAATGCATCTGGAGAAATCCAAATCAGAGTTTGAAATAAGATAAAAATCCAACAAATGCTGCACACAGTAAAGATGCTGGGTGTAACGGGGGAGGCAACAGGCGTTCATCCCTAACACAGAGGGGGCTGAAAGTCACACCCTTCTGTATCAGAACCCAGAGCGAATCCTCCTCTGGAACAGCTTCTCCCTTCACAACTGCCCCTTAGGGCTGCTTCTTCCTTCAGCCCATCGACTGTGCATTGCCTGGACCAGTAGAATGAAGAAACCACGTACCACTTTGCCTTCAGGACTGAATTTGATTCTTACAGTTCATAAATAACATTTTTTTTTTTTACTTTTTAAAATTAGTGTTTACTTCATATTTTACTAGGGTTTTCTTTTTTCCCCCTCCACACCTGTAGAGGCTATTTCTTTATAAATTAAGTCAGTCACTGACCACAGAAACTTCTTCCTCTTCAGGGAAGCAGCTCCAGAGAAGGCAAGAATACAAATCATGCTCAGCCTAGCAGCTACTGCTTCATCTCCGCCCCGCAGTGAGCGGTTAACAGCGCCAGCCTCCACCCACGGGGTCTGGTCAGCACCCACATCCCCAACATCCCTGTTGAAAGACAAGGCAAAAGCTGGGTGCTAATAAAAATACACGACCATGTAGGAACACAGACAGCTATTTCCTTGTGCGGCCAGTTCTGCTCTCCCTCTCTCCGCTGGTGAAACTCTGGCGTACAATGCTTTGAGGACAGAGTGCATCCCAAAGAAAATGCATAGGTCATCGCATTCTGTGATTTAACCAGCTGCCTTCACCCCTGCTCTTTGACAGTGAAATTAAAGAAGGTTTTACACTGTGCTTTGTAAGGAAATAAATGCAGTCTTTTGTGTTTCTGCATCAAGAAAGCCAAACATTGCAGGATTAAGTGAGGATGAACCAGATTAAGTCTAACATACTACCGATTCTGTCATGACACAACAAATTCCTGGTGGAAAAAGAAGTCTGAAGGAGTTTCTTTACTATCCTGACCCTGTTCTTGAGGGAATAGTGAGCTGTAGCCTCCCTACTCCACAGGGGGGGAAAGCTCTTCTGCATCTCCCACACCCACCAATCTACGTTTCTGCTTTTCACACAATAGTACCCGTGCTTTCACATCAGAGCTCTGAGCCATGTTTTCTGCCGTACCTACTCTCTGTCACTCCTGACGCGGTGAAGTAACTACACTCCTTTTTCTGTATTCTTTGGCATGCATGAGTGGGCAAGAACACAACGAGGAAGGCTGAAAGCAGAATCCCCAAGACAGACCATCTCTAAGGCATTACCATGAAAGGTGAAGGCTGAAAGCACACTGTCACTACCACCCCGGATGAAGAGACATGGGGCATCCCCCCTCCAAGTTCTGACCTTCTGTTTGAGGGCTGACCACTGCCCTGGTTCAGGGACAGAGGCAGAAGCATCCTGCCAGGACAGAGGGAAGTGGCTGCAAACAGAAAACTCCTCATGCCCTCCCCGTTGCTCAGCCAGGCCTTCCTTCCTCTTTCAAGTTCATTTTGCAGTCACAGTTGGTTTCCATTCTTTGAGGCGATCAGCCTCCAGGAGGTTGACCCGTTTAGCAGCAATATAATCAAACGAGCCGCCTTAGTGCTGGTGATGGTCTCTGCTCCTCCTGAGCAGCTGCAGCCTGCGCCTCCACTGTCAAAGCTGGAAGAGGGGATTGTATTTCCTAATTTCCTGTAGAAGGCGAGCCTTGTCCATGTTGGCTTCTGCAAGGGCTATTTTCATGGTCTGCAGCTCCCTTTGCAACTCTGGCACTTCCTTTAACTGCAAGAGACAGAGGGAAAAAAACCAGCTCAGGAGTTTCTAAAAGGTAAGCAGCAGGGCAGATCTGACTACACTGATCTGCTCAAAGAGCAAGACCAAAGCAGGAGCTTTTGAGATGAATTACACTATGTGACACAGCCACACAAAGCTCACTGACAACGTGACCCAGTTTAATTTGCAGGAGTAAGTACTTGCCAACCGGTGCCTGCTGACTTCCATACCTGTCATCAGAGTCAGCTCAGGCTGCCAGTGATGGCTGTCTAATGACTTATTTTCTTCCAAGATGTCCCTTCACCTCTCTAGGCATAGAAACAAGACTTGCAGTGGGCAAGGTTTTTTCCTGCAAAGTAGCTGTCTGATCCTGGCTGAAGATAACTATACAAAGAAAGCAGGGGAAAAAAAAAATTGGGCTCTGAGCTGCATTCTTCTTTTACAAGGGGTTCTGATACACCTCTAAAGATCTGCTAATATTAAGATGATAGCTGGAGCAAGCAGATGCCTGGCATCCCTATTTCTTATCTCCATGAACAAAGCTAATTCTGTCCTCAAACACTGCCAGTGAGACCCCACTACAGTTTCACAGCACAGGACAGTTTTTTCCTAGGGCTCTCAGAAATATTTTTACTCAAGAATTTAGCCTTTGCATTTGTTCCTATTAAGTTCAATAACATCAGAAAATAAACTGAAACTAAGCTACTGTGATGCTTATATGCTCCAGTTCTGGTCAGGGCCCCATCTCACAAGATGCTATGAACAGGAAGCAGAGAAAGTCTCTGCACTAAATGGAAGAGAAGAAGATGAGAAATGAAGAATCCAAAGTCCCAGTCCAGTTCTGTACCCAGTCAGCCACATTGCTCCCTTAGTATGTATTTTTCCAAAGTAAGTAATCTATTTACCACGTAGACCTGGCATCAAACAGGAAGTGTAATTAGAGAGAACACTACATATTTAAAAATAAAACACTCGCCTGAATTCCAGATAAATGGGTCAAAATGGAAAGAAAGTTCAAACTCAGTAGCAGAAACTTTAAGCAACCTGAAACTCCCTGGCTGTAAGACTTGCTCTACTCTGACAAAACATCTCCCTCTTTGTGGAAACCTCCCGATTCCTGTTTTTCCAACAAGGAACTGGACACAGTGGGAAGATGGAGCCAATAAAGAAAAAAAAAAAAACCCCAGATTTCTGAAAGGGAACAAGAGAGTTTATGCTGGGCACGGTATCCCTACTTCTCAGAAACCTGTAAAAGGAGGTACAGGCTGCTTTTGTGTGCATTCCCTACCTGCAACACACCACACCTACCAGTAACTCGAAACACACAGACAAAAGACTTAGTTTTCCAAATTTCCAGCCTACTGCCAGCTATCTCGTTGTCTAGACAGCAACAGGCAGCAGTGATTCACCTGCAGTCCACGTGTTCCTGCTGCTGGGGCTGCCAAGACACACTCTGCTGGGGCCTTCTGCTCCTGAAGAACTGACACAGGTTTTTCCTGTTTCAGTGAGCCCTCCCCTTGCGGAGCTGGAAAGAAGCATAGAAAACATTCAGGTGTGGACACTTATACAACAGGGTTCTCAGGACAAAAAGAGTAACTTCCC